TTACCCAGTGTCTGCTCAGACACCCACCGCAGCCCTCCTGCCTGTTCCTCAGTGGCATGTCCATCACAACCAGTGCAGACTGATGGCTGAAGTTGGAGGGCTGCTTTTCAGCAGGATGAGACCTGGCAAACCCCATGGCATGTATAGAGCAGCCTGGGGCAGTTTCCCTAGCAGGATGAAGCCCAGGGGCTTCTTTCTGGTTATCTGCACCATCATTTTGTGATCTGAATTGCAGGAGATGTTAGAACTAAGAACCAGAAAGTGATGTTGTTGGAACTAAGACCAAATGAAATGACCTCTGAAGAGGCATCTGAATCCAGGCCATTGGACTGAGTTGCCACTGATAGGGGCAGAAAATCTTTGGGCTAAAGGCAACTCTTCATGGCCATTTTTGGACACCTAAGACCACGCTGTTAAGGATGCTCTTCTGCTTGCCACCTGGTTCTATTTATCTCCATATTTTAGGCTCTGACTGGCCCAGGGAGCTGTGTGGATCCATCTATCAGCATGTGGAAAGCCTTTGGTGTTGCCCTTGGGGTTGAGGGTTCTGAGAATCCATCACAGAGAGCTCTTTTAGTTAAAAAGGCAGGAAAAGTGTGTATGTGGGGGGAAAGAATGATGGAGAAAAAGCCACCTCGGGCAAGGTGGGAAGGGCCCACTACTGCCTCCCATCCCCAGCCAGCCCATGGAGCTGTTTTAATTAACCCCCATGCAGACACCTTCCCACATCAGGCTCCTCCAGCCAGGCACTTCCTCGTGGTGACTGCTTGCAGTGGAGGGTGCTGCTGTCCACACTTCCTTCTACTTCAAGTATAAGAGGACGAAAGATAAGTGAAAATAATTTTCCACTGAAGGACATCAGTAAAATGTATAAAAACTGCCTGTCCCTGGACCATCTGGCTGCTGATAGTGCAGTATTAATAACCACACTCAATTAAGCTGGGCCTCCCTTGGGGAGCAAGGTTTCAGTTGGCCAATGTCACAAGAACTGATGTAATCCAAGTGGTGATGCCATCGATAGCAGCTGGTGGAGCACCCTCCATCTCTCTCAGGACAGCCGTCAGCAAGTGCTTTAAGCAGATCTCTGGAACAAGCGTTCAAGGTGATCTGCTGGCGCTTTGGGATCCCACACTTGGCTGCCAAAAACCTCGTGTGAATGATGCCAAGGGTGGGAAAGATGGACCAAGGGGTGATGGTGGGCACCCTGCAAGATGTTGGAGGGGGACTTGGGTAAACCTGCAGTGAAATGGGGAGGGTTTTCCCACTGCATGGGACTTCCTGAGCTGAAGGGGCACCCAGAGTGAACTTCGATGTGCCCAGTGCTGGAGTCACAGCTGCTTCAGAGGAGAAATATTTTCTCTCCTGCCTCACTTGCAGGATCCCTTTCCTTCCTCCCAAGCCAATGCTTTTTCTTGTTTCCTTTCAGGTGTGCAATGCAGATTTATGGGCTGGTTGAGAGCCTTTCCCAGTGCTCTCCCCATGCGCAGCCCCATCCTATGGGATGCAGCATGAGAACCCCCAAGGACTCCTTTTCAGGAAGGACCAGACAGCTTGTGTCCAGCCTCAATTTGGCAGCTGGCGTTGTGCAGATTGACCTTCTGCCTCTTGCCTAATTAGCCTGTAATTGCACCCTTCAGAACACAGGGAAGCTCTGGGCATGGCTGGAGCTTTGTAATAAAACCCTACTTAATGGTTGATGGGTGGAAACAAAAGAGCAAAACCTGCTCAGGTGAGTCCTCACAGACACCGCTTGCTCAGCAGGTGCTTCTCCAAAGGAGACGAAACACCCACTGAAGTCAGGCCAAGGCACCACTAAAAGGAAAAAATACTTACATTGAGAATGTATTGTGTGGTTCATTTAACAATGTTTAAAGCAATTTAGAGCCATCAGCAGGATCAGAGTGAGGGATTTGCTCTGTTTGATCAGACAAATAAGCCGTGATGCTGGATCTCTCTGTTTTCAGAAGTTCAGATGCTGGGATTCCATCTGAGCTGCTCTGTACCCTACCAGGACTCCAGGCACGTCCTGTGTGGCACGAGCACTCCTATCCCCACCACTTCAGCAGGCTGCAGCCGTTCTGCTGCTCCTCCAGAGCATGAGATTGGATTAGGCTTTCCTTAACTTGCCTTCTTCCAAATACAGTGTTGCCAATTTATACGATTTTATGCCAAGCCTTGTGATATCTGGGATTTTCCTTCGAGCATCAGTTGCTGGAAAAAAAAGTGATCACAGAAGAACCTTATCGTTGCCTCTGTTAAAAAAGTACATTCCCATCCCATGTTGTTATCAGAAAGACTGGAGCAGGGAAGGGAGTTCACCTGAGGGAGAGGTGAAGGTTTCTCTTCCACTGCCCATTGCATGGTGGTCTCTGATCTCTGAGTGTTTGGAACAGTCCTGGTCAAATTCACCTTTGGATTGTAGATAAATTTTCCACATTCCTTTTTCCACATTCCATTTCCTAACCCTAACCTTATCCAATGCATTCAAAGGGGAGCTTCCTTTTTAGAGCAGTACCAGCAGCTTATCAGAATGACCCTGCTGGTCATGACCACTTGGATGCCTTCCCATGCTCTGTTTCCAGTACAGTGGCACCTCCTGAAACTTGCAGCTTCAGTGTCAGCTTCAGGACAACATGAGCTTTCTCCTTACCTCGGCTCCTGGAAGGACTGGTGGTGCCATGACAGATACAGTCATACTCAATGCATCTGGTGACAATCCACATCTGCTGAAGTCTCTTTGCTGCAGCTGTTCTGATAGGTAAGCGTTGGTCCTTTCCAGTGAGGGTCACTTCCATATAATTATGGAGAACCTCTGAGACAAACTATTTCTGATGAAACTTACTTTGGGGCTTTAGACATTCTCGCTTTCTCCATAGAATCGTTAAGGTTGGGAAAGATCTCCAAGATCATCTAGTCCAATTGTCAACCCATCACCACTACGCCCACCAAACCATGTCCCTAAGTGCCACAACCACCCCTTTCTTGAACACCTCCAGGGACAGTGATCCCCCAAATTCCCTGCTGCCCTTCCAATGCGTAACCACTCCTTTGGAGAAGAATTTTTTCCTAATATCCAACCTGAGCATCCTCTCTTTCTCCCTCAGCCATTGGATCATTAAAGTTGGAAAAGACCTCCGAGATCATCTAGTCCAACTGTTAACCCAGCATCACCATGCCCGCTAAACCATGTCCCCGAGTGCCACGTCTACATCCATGTTTCACTACTAGATGAAACATCCCCATATTCTTTTGATGTGAACACATTTTTCTTTGTCTTAGTATCATTTGAGTTAGTTTAGGATGCACTGACTTAGTGTCCTACTTGATTTTAGCTGCTCACCACCAGTTTGCCCTACCACTGGTATCCTGAGCCACAGTGTCAAGCAGCAAATGGACAGCAACAAGAACACTGGAATCCCATGTAAAGACAAATCTTGTTATTTTTATACCAATTACAAGGTTATGGATCAGGCTAAAAGGTGTTTAATATGTTGTAATATTTAGGCACACTTGGCTCCCACATTTATTGGGGCTGTTTGTAGCAACAAGTACTATGTGCTCACCATGGAAGTATGTAGCATGCACATAAAATTAGTGCAGATGTGCTGGGAAGCACTGAGGACTCTGGGCTGAGTGGGGCAGGAATGAGGGCTCCCGGTTGCACAGAGGGCAGAGGGAGAAGGGAGGAGATGGGAGGAAAGGAAAGCATCTCATACCTGTGCTGTTTGCTCCATGCTGATGCATCTTACTTTCACATCGTGTTTTCTTTTGAGGGCTCAAAATCCCATTGCACAATATTGTAAAAATGTCATAAAATATTTTATTGCATCGTGCAACTGAGTTGCTGCCAAGGGACTTAACCCTTGCATTGCCTCCTTCCCGTGGATGCCCGGAGTGTCACCTGGCAGAATCAGGCTCTCATCTTTTTGTGGGTGAATTTTGAAGAGTTTGAAGGGTGCTTAGGGACTTGGAGGTGGGAGCTGCTGGATCATTGTACCAGGCAGCTAATTCAGGGCCTGCTCACATCTTTATCTGGGGATTTTTAGTTTGATTAGAAATAGAGTTGAGATCGTTCCAGGTGCTGCCACTTGTCACCTTTTCCTTCAGTGCCAGTCCTGCAAATACCAGTGAATATATGATTGCTGCTTTGCAGACATTCGAGTGAGCCCCATTGTCTTGTTTCATGCTGAAGCCATCAGCCACCCTTGGAAAGGACTTTTGGAAGCAGTTGGATTCAAATCAGGAAGCTGTCGGAGTTGAAGGACCAGCCTTTCCTGCAGGTCCGTGAGGATGGGCACATGTCAGCCCTGGATGGCTGATGGTGTTGCTGTATGGATAAGCTTAGGAAGCCTGCTTCAGCATGTGGGGAGAACCATCTTCACTGAGCAGCTGTGCAAAGTTCTGGGATTGCTGAGTGAAGATGTCACTCAGTGTTCACGAGACCAACAGGATGTGTACTGAGTTGTGATGGCCACGATTTAAGGTCCTAATCATGGAAAAAAAGGGACAAGGCCAACATGAGGTTAGGAGTTTCTCCAGTTGGTCCCAGAAAGAAAAGCCAATCCCTCGGAGCATCACTGTGGAGTCCAGCCCTCAACAAGGGTGGGCATTTCTCCAGCCACCCTCACCATCCTCAGCCTGGCACCAGGACAGAGCAAAAAGCACCCACCTGGACACCATCCCTACCTCAACAGATGCTGTAGTGAACTTGGGAAATGTTTCATAGCAGCTGGAAAATTCCAGTGAGCTGGAGAGGCTGGAGGCCTCTCCTCCTGCAGATGTTGGGTCTGTGCTTGCCAGCAGCCAGATTTTGGCTGGGATTTGCTATAAAGAAAGAGTAAAAATTAGCCAGCTGTTCTCGGCAGAGATTTTCATCGCTTTTTTCCCCCCTTTAAATCAAAGAAATAATAACTCCATGAAAGGCTCGGACAGAACTCTTTCAACCCCTGGGGAAATTCCCCCTATTCAGAGGTATAGACACCAGGTTAGTTCTCACTTACAGTCTATTCCAAGTGGTACTTCTTGGGTGTAAAGCCTACTGCTGGTGTTCATGCAGAGGTGAGTGTTCAGGTAGCCCTGAAAGGCAAAATCCAAAATACCTCTTTTATTTTTTTATAGTTCCAGAAAGCACAGGGCAAGAGGTACTGCATTTTCCAACCCTCCCAGGCAGTGAATAGGTTGTGGGGTTGGTTCACAGGCCAGAATAATGCTTAAGAGAAGAGTTTATCTGCTGTTGTGATCCCAGGACAACCCTACTTGTGAAGAATGTATGGTGGATGGTGCCTCCTGCCCTTGCCCAGCCTTCTGTCCCACGGCTGCAATGCAAGTGTCTTGTTATGGGACTTTTAATGTGGATTTTGCTTGAGCTTGTGCTGAATCTCCCACCCCAGATGCCTGTGAGCTGGTTGCAATGTGCCGGGGAGGAATAAGTGGAGCTGTTCGTTTGCTTTTCAGTCTAAACAAAATGCTTTCCCATAAACACAAAGGAGGAAGCCCCACTTAGCCTAACTCTTTGGAAGAAGCATCTTTACTGGGAATGTTTATGTGATGCCTCTGAAACCTAAACCAAATGTGAGCAGAAATAGCTCTGCTTGCAGCCAGCCTTGGTGCAGCACAGCCCTGACCTTGGAGTTGGGCTGGGATTCCCAATATGAAGTCCATGAGGGACTCCTGACCTGGAACAGCCCTTCCTTGCATGGCAGCAAGGCCCAGGCAGCTCAGCCAGGATCCCTTCACTTTGTGTCCTTGCAGGAAGGACTATTTGGTTGTTGGCACTGAGGTTGCTGCCAGGGGATTGATGTGTGGGGCAGCCTGGCTCTTCCATGACAGTGCCTCTGTTTCTCTGCTGTATGATGGGGAAAAGTGCACAAATTTTCCTGGAGAAAGCATGGCTGCACAGCTGGCAGCAGATAAAAAAAGGGCTTCTATTACACCACAAAGCAAACTCCAAAATATGAAGCACAGCTGGACCAGAACCGCATATTAGGAAGCCCTGCTGCACCTCCATACTATTTTTGCAAAGCCAAATGCCAGCTTGGCACACCGAGCTCCAAGGCTCGCATCCCACCACATTTAAGGGAATGCACACCTTGTGCTGAGTCCTGCGCAGGAAAACAGGAAGGTTTTGCAGTAACAGTTTTCCCACATGAGAGCCAGGCGTGCTGCCCAGATGCGCTGGTTTCACACTGCTGGGCATCCACACCTCTCACTCGCCATCCTGTACAGAACTGAGGGAGGAAGGGAAGGGGCTCAGGGTTGAGATAAGGGCAGGGCAACATGGAGCTGGCAGTGATAACAGCACGGTGCTGCAGTACGGCGTGTGCTGTCCCAGCCTACACAAAGCACACGCACGTTCTCCTGAGAACACATCTGCTTACAAAAGCAAACACCTCTGCAAGCACTGAATCAGCCACAAACAATTCTGCATATGGAATAGAGCTGAGGGACGGCAGCTTCAAAAGATGAGCAAGGAGAAAATAAAGCAACTATAGATGTGCGTCAACTCCCCTGTGCCAAACAGCAATGAAGTGTGGCATTGTCATCAGCATCCAGATTCCTTTTTCCCTTTTGCAAATGAATTCTGGAGACGAATGGGGACCGATACGGGATGTGCAGCACAGCCCACACAGATGAAAGCAGATGGTGGCTGCTAGCACGGGAACCAGCAACACAAATACAAACAAACTCGTGCTTTTAGGAGCTTGTGTCAGACACATGTAGGCTCGTATCAGTGCTGTACTGAGAGAAAACATTATTCCATGAAGAACTGCTCATCCTCAGCAGCACAGGGCCGTGTTACTGGTGAGCAGCTCTCCTCTTTCATCATGCAAAGGGAAATGATTAAAAGGGAATTACTGGACTCCCCTACATCTCCATCAGAGATCAGGCTTGGTCATTTGGAAAATAAGTAATGAACATCATTTGTTAATGTCACTGTTAAGCAATGGATTTTTTTATGCTTAACACACCAGACCTATTTTCACTTCCAAGTTTGTTTCTGAAGCTTCTAATTTAACTAAATCTCTACTGTTGAGGAGCCATTGAGTTGACCAAGGGTGTGAGATACCAGCTGTGGTGTGCTGGATAATGCAAATGAATGGGAGGAGGCTGGGGGAGGGGGGAGCAGGTCCCTGGAACTCCACAGGGTGACACCAGGATCCATGGGATTCTCTCTTTGTCTTTGCAGAAGTTATGGGAAGAAGAATTTTTTTTAACCTAAAGAACAGGGAATGCCAGTGGACTCTTGGCCTTAACACGGTGCTCTGAGAATGCACTGTGTTTCTGGCCTTAGGTACATCCCTTGTTCCTTAAAATGATACATCACTCATTAAGTGTCTCACTGTATGTTGTGAGTAATGAAAAATGTGGTTTGTTCTGCTCTGAGATGGCATTGAGAAACAAGACTGAAAATATCATATGGTGACTAATAGAAATAATGTTCTCCGGGGCTAAAGATCCAACACAGCCTCTGGATGGCACTTCTCTGTCACATCCTAAGCTGGGAAGCTCCTTCCTTCCCCAGAGCAGCCAACAAGAGCCAAACCATGGCTCCTGCTGAGCAGAAAGCCATGCAGCATCCTACAGCCCTTCCACTGTGGCTCTGTCCTCCTTGCTGAAGCCAACATAAGTACCCAGCTGTTGGCTCCTGCCTTCCTAACCATGCTCCACCTCCTGTAGCAATGCCATGCTTGCTTGCATGGGGTCCTCCAGCCCAGAGCATGGTCTGGGTGCTCCAGTAAGGCTGCAGAGCAGCAATATCTAGGTCCATAACGATGAGCAACAGAGGAGACCCATCGTTGACCCATCCTTCCACCCTGCTGAAATGAATGTAGCTATGCTGACACTGGGGCAATGCACCCTCTTTTCACCAGTGCTGGATTTGGCCAAATCTGCTCAGGAAGTGAAGAGGGATCCAAAATGAAAATGTAAATAGATGCTTTAAAAAGCACTGCAGTATATACAAGCTCCAGTGGGAACGTGGGGAGCAGCTGCTGCTTTTCTCCGTGGCCCTCAGCTGAACGTACACATGCATGTTTTGTTGGTTGTAAATGTTTAGAGAAAACAGATGCAATTAGGCTGCTTGAGGACCACTTGATATCAGCTGGGCACTTTCATGGGAACTGGGCCAGTGAGGAGCTGTGCAAGTCACTGTCCCGAAGCACACAAAGCTCCTTTGCTTTTCTCTGCTGGTCTTCCAGAAAACAGCAAACACAAAGCAAGCTGTTGAAATGCTCTTACCTCTAACAAAGACATCCCTGAGCTCTTCATGGATTCAGTGATTGCCCCACAGAGCTTCAGGGAAACCCAGCAGCAGCCTCAGATCTTTTTCTGATTTTCGGCTGCTTTTTTTTCCCTACCCGTTTTCTCTTAGGGGTTGGCAGAAAGCAGAGGTGGGCTGCAAGCAAAGACTCCTGGTCCCATCCGCCTTGGATGCTGCTAAAAGCCTTTCTCTTTCCTTATGTGCTTCTCATTCCTCCGAGAACTGCCAGCCAGCATAGAGCAGTACAGTGATTTAAGGCAGTGAGATAGGAGGAAAGTCAACAGGCTGATCTCCATAAAGGTAACGGAGAAAACCAAGTGTGTCATCAGGTGTCTCACCCTGCTGTCCTTTGTCTGCACTCCTGGGGCCCCAAGCATCATCCTGCCTTCCACAAAGGGCTGCATGGAACTATAGGAATATCCAAGATGGAAAAGGCCTTCCAGATTGCTCAGTCCATCCACCAATCTGCCTGAGTCCCACCACTAAGCCGTGCCCCTCAGTGCCACATCCACACAGCTCAGTACCTCAGGGGTGAGGGTTCCACCACCTCCCTGGGCAGCCCCTTCCAAAGCTGACCACCCATTCTTCCCAGCACCCAATCCGACCTTCCCCTGGCACAACCTGAGGCTGTTAAAGCGGGAAGAACATCAGCCCTCTCCTCTCTGCTCATGGGGACAAGCTTTCCTCCAGCTGGGGCAAAGTCAGGCGAGGCAGCAAACGACCACGTCCTAATTACAAGTGGCATCTCCTGCTGTGGGTGGTCCATGGCCCCAGAAGCATGACATTTGTCTGGGACCCCTGCCCTGCCGGGCTCTCCTCCTGCAGCTGGTAATAAGGGAGAGGACACGGCCGTGCAGCCCTACGCCGGGGCTGGCTGTGGCACTTGTCATTAGAGGTGCACAACTGGCTCTCGGAGAACAAAACCCCCGTCTCTCCCACCAGCCCTCCCAGTATAGTTTTGGTGCTGGGCCAGGGCGCTGCAATTGTTGTTTTGACGGCTGCTGGTTCCAAATAAGCCCTCGGGCAGTAATGAGGCTTGCTCAAATTACTGGGGACTCCATTTGTTCTCTCCTCAATTAATGCTTTCAGAGAAAGAATGCAAATGATTTCCCAAATTAGGGGATGTGGAGGGGGTGGGGATAGAGATAGCGCTGGGGAGAGTGCCTGGTTCCTCAGAGGGAAGGATGAGTCCTCAGCTCCTTACATCCAACCCCGATTTGCCTCCTGGACAGGAAAACAGTTTAATTATGGCTACAGATGGAATTCAGAATTAATAATCTTTAACTGTATGCCATTAATGAGGATGGTTATGGTGAATCCCAACCTCACCAGGCAGCACCACAGCGGTGTCCATTGGTCACTGAGGGCACTGAGCGCTGCTCTCTGCCAGCAGCTCCCTGCCAGGACAAAGAGGTGACATCTTGAGGCACGGCTGCCCTGGATGTGTCAGCAGGGAGGCTGGCTACTCCGACCCAGAAGTGGGACGTGGGAGAAATTGTTGTGTGGTTACGCAGGGTCTGACACACGCCTGCTGGGTTTTCCTTTCTGCAGCTCAGGCTGGGGCGCAGGGACACAAATCAGAGCACGTCCATGGGAGTGGCACTGCTGGAAGTGCTGAGTCCTCCCACCTGTGTCACCACTCATGTGCTGTCCCCTAAGCATCACACAGCATACAACCACCTCACCTCTTCCCTTTTCTGCAGGCTAAGCCTCTGCCCATGCAAATGGTAGCTCAGGATTATTGCCCTGTCTGTTGGCCAAACTGATTCTTCCTAGGAGAAAACACCTAAAATCATTTCTTTATATTCCTACATTTTTGTAGGTGGCATTGCTGTGATGAAACATGGCTCTGTAGTTTGTTTTCCCTCATATCAGGTTCTTTCTCCCACTCCCCCTCTGCAGGATGTGGCACAGAGCAGGGCTCCTCTGGCACACCTGTCCTTGCAGGAGCACAGTTTTGTTTCTGGGGTGGAAGATAAAGGAGTGTAAATGAATCTCAGTCTGCTCCTTCTTAAAACCAATCCTCTTTGAGAGAGAAAAGAAGATCTTCAGGATTTAAGTTTGTGCTCCATTCTTTACCTTAGAAATGTTCACTCCACACTTGTACATGATGGTCATTTTCTAATTGGGCAAATGCTTTTTTGTATGCTTTCTTTATTCCCTTCCTCCACCCCCCCTCCCCCCCCCCA